GCGGCGTGCTTTGCACACAATCACTTAAATACCCTTGTAACCTTCTTCCTGGGTAGACATCTCTGTTACTCTCCTTAGAAACCTTTTTTTGCCCATCAGACTTCTTGTTTCTAGCTCTTTCTGTATTTTGGTTTCTTTCGGTCTTGTGCAGTCAATACAAATTATTCTATTCCAAATGCAGCTGAGAACAAAGAAAGCAGGAAACCTGCACTTTGCTGAGGTCTGTGAAACCTGCAGAGGTACAGCTGGAGCAGGCACGGAAGTTCAGCGAGAGGTAGACTTTCACCCGCAAGTATAACTAATGATTTGCCAAGAGAAGGCAGCACTGCAGTACTGAATATGGCAGGTGGGTTTTTAAAAAAAGGCACTGTACACTTTACTGCACTCCAAGATTATTCTGCCCAGAGTTGGGCTTTACGCTGTATATAGTTTACCTAGAATGGGATTGTATGGATGAAAAAAGCTGTATACTCCATCCACATATGTGAGTCTTATTGGACAGAATAAAAATAATTACATAATTGAGTATATAGTATACATCGGACTGCTCTTCCCATCTCAACATCTCAAATCACCACACAATAGCTAGATAGTTTCTATCCAGTGTGCCTAGGTGAAGATGAAGGTGACATTATAAACATTCCGGTGATATTCTGGGAACACTGAGGATCCCAAATGTCATGTGAAGATGATCCTTCGCTGTGCTGGAGCACCTTCTCACACGATTTGGGATACTCAGCATGATGTCACCGTCTCCAGGGCAGAAGACAGCGGCTGTATAAGTGAATTATCTGACTTTTTTCCTCACATGCTTTTCATGCAGCAATTTGATATGGAGAGGACATCTGATGTAGCAATCAGACTTTGTGCTATGCTTTACAGAAAAAATGCAACATGATAGAAAGAGCTTGGTTCACATTGAGTATGGACACAAGCACACATATGTGGAAATAATCTCCTGCTGTTAAGGACAAGCATCTTAAAGTCCCCTCTGATCTAATTTACGAATTTGGTTTCTTATTTTAGAAATCACCTGTGGTAAAAGTGATTCCTTTCTTCCGCTGCTAAAATGCTTCTCCCATATCAGCTCTGCCAATTCCTTCCACTAAAAATATTTACATAGTTACATAGTATTTGAGGTTGAATAAAGACACAGATCCATCAAGTTCAATGTGTGTGTGTGTGTGTGTACAGGAGTCCCGGCGTGAGCTATTTTTTAAGAATACCTATACCTCTGTATGTTATGGTCTCTGAGGAAGGTATCTAAATGACTTTTGAATGATTCAATGCTGATACTACTGCTTGTGGCAGCAAGTTCCAAAATGTAACCGCTCTAACTTTAACCCTTTCGCTGCCAAGCCCTCCGGAACATTTTTCAAGCTGGCCAAGCCATTTTTGCAATTTTTTCCTATTGATTTGATTTCCAACTGCTGGGTTGCTAGCGTTTGTAAAAGACCCCCCAAAACCATATATTTTCTGAAAGCGCAGGCCCGGTAGAATAAAAAGATGGTGATACTAAATTTGTAGGCCCTGCTATAATTGCGCAAATGTTTCTCAAATTAATTGGGCGCCTGGTATTTTTGATGATAGCAGTCATCAGCAGCTTGTGAGCCGCTGATGACAGCTATTAATTTGAAGGGGACAGTCTGGGGGAACAGTTCTACTATAAGCTCATGGTCGCTAAAGCGACCATGAGCTTATAGTAGAACTGTAAATGCCAGGTCCGTACGGCGCATACTGAGCTGGCCAGCCAGAAGCACTTTTGTACCTCCGTATACCGTACGTCCTTGGCAGTGAAAGGGTTAAAGAATCCCCTGCGCTCTAACTTTAAAGAATCTCCTTTTCTCCACCAATTTTAGGTGGTGGCCTCTAGTCTTTGTTATCGAGTTTACTGTAAAAAGTTTATTGCTGATGTTGCTATCACCACTAAACATTTTGTACATCAAAATCATGTCCCCTCCTAATCGCCTTACTTCCAGCGTGAACAGGTTTAAATTTAGCAACCTTGTCTCCTAGCTTTGGTCCTCCAGCCCCTTATTAATTAGTTTAGTTGCCCTTCTCTGGACTCTCTCTAGCTCAAGGACATCCTTTCTGTGGATTGGTGACCAAATGTGAACCACATACTCAAGATGAGGCCAAACCAGTGATCTATAAAGTGGCAAAAGTATTGCTTTATCTCTACAGTACATTCCCTTTTAATACAAGACAGTATTCTGCTCGCTTTGTTTGCCCGCAGCCTGGCATTGCAAGCTATTATTCAATCTGTACTCGACTATGACCCCCAAATCTTTTTCCATTCCTGACTTCTCTAGTACTGTTTTGAACTCCAAATTGCATTACTTTACATTTTTTGACATTAAACCTCATTTGCCATATAGTTGCCCACTCCCGTATTTTATCAAGATCCTCTTGTAATGTTATAATGTCTAAGCCCGTGTCTATTAAACCCCCAATTTTAGTATAATCTGCAAACACAGAAACATGGCTATTAAGACCTTCCCCAATATCATTAATAAACAGGTTAAACAGTATGGGACTTAAAGGTGAAACATGGGGCAGCCTTTTTTGCATATAGTTCTGTTCAGGGTCAAGGGAGGACATATACTCTGTCCTCCGGTGACCCAAAACTCAGCATATAGCGGCCTATTGGCCGCTGTATGCTGAGAGTGCGGGGCCACTCCACAGCCAGGATGAATCCTGATAATACTGTCGAGAACCACCCCACTGGCTGATTGATGGGCTAGAGGCAGAGCCAGCTGTGCCCAGCCCCTCCTCTGTCCGTTCCTCCAGTCAGTGCTGGAGGATCGGAGAGCGGAGTGGGTAATCCCTGCGGGGAGCAGTGATGAACAGCCATCCATCTCTGCGGGTAGAGGACTGGTAAGTCAGAGATTGGCGGTGTGTGTTTGCTGACTTCTGGGTCAATAGAGCTGACGTGTGACAGCTTCGGTGTCACAGGTCGGCTTGAATTATGGGGATGAGTGTTTTTCACTCACCGTATAGTTTTCCTTTAAGCTCTTGAAAACTGCCCTAATACAACTAGATTTTTTTTTAATAGTAATTCCTTTCTTTCTGAGTAGTACAATACAATTACATGAAAATTGTATAGATAGCTTGAAAATCAAAATTTAAATGTATGCTATTAATAAACAAGATGCCCTGTGATGCTCAATAAATCATTTCTATGGTCTAAAGATAACATTTGTTATCGGTATCAGCTGAAAATATTTAGTCTTGTAACTTTCATCCTGAAAATACATGTTATTTGCATTTTGTCAATTTTTTAGTTTGGAATCCAATTTTTAGTAATTCTTCACATAAAATTCATATGTCTGCTGTTTACTTTTGACTGCAGAATGGATACAGAACCATATGGTTAAGTTAATTAACAGTACTTTTGCGGAACTAACCAGGAATAAGAGCCTAGCCAAAAACATTTCAGTGAATGTCAGTGCTCGGTGAACCAGTCACAAATGTTTATCTGTAATAAACTGAATTTCTATTCCTAAATTGCTTTTTGTTTCAAGGAAATCACCTTGGTAGGGCCTAATATTAAGCATATAGTACTAGTGCCTACATGATTGATGGTCTGCACACACTTCACCTATTCTGCAGGAATGCATTGTTGCTTGATTAGCAGTGGTAGGTGCGTAGGAGGAATCGAGGCTGGCCTTGAAACATTGAGGTACAAAGGACGGGAAGTAATTTTGTCATGCTGGTGGATACATGTGAGGTTGCATAGAGAGATAAATATTTGGCTACTCTTAGTCAGAGGACCTGGTTTGCAGATCAGGATACATGGAGAGATCAGCCATAGGTTGGCAGTGCTCTGACGAGATTGAGTGACCTCCTGGTATGCATGTTGAAGAAGGCTCCTTCAGTGATCAGTAAGACCTTTGCAAGGTGAATGTAGTTCATTTTAGATCCTCCCGATACTCCCCATCAGAGGGTAGAATAAGCAAGTCATATAGTAGTCTAGCAGCCCAATTCTGACACATGTTTCACACTGTTTGTATAATTCTTTGTGGTTACCCATCTACATCTTCAGAGAATGTTTTGGGCTGTATGTTTAGAATTGCAGTGTAGTGGAATGCAGGCTTGGACAGCTGTGTGCAGAATAGTGTTCCAGAGGAGCTGTGCCCAGTAATTATACTAGACTGTATCCAAAAATGGCCTTATTGACTTATGAGCATTTATATTTAATGATAAGTCTTCAATTGAAACTACACTCATTTTTGGTTAATTTAATTTTCTGTCTAATATTTCCAGGTTTATGAACTGATCTTTGTATAACTAGTATATACTGTTGTATAAACTCTTTATTATACAAAAAAACAAAACTTAAAACAAGGGTTTTCATGACAATAAGAAAGCCCAGCAATGCCTGCTCACTTGACTGCTTCCATCCAACTGAAAATACATGCAGGTCTGTATAAGCTAGTAGACATGGAGGGGTAGAAGACATGTCCTTCCTCTGACTCATTTGAGTGGGTGAAATGAATAGATCTGTATATCAGAAGATCAAATTAATATGCTATTTTAAATATTTGTCATAGTAAATATAACATTTTTACATGCAAATTTTCATATTTTCCTGAATATATTTTAATAGTTAGAACTCTTTCTTGAACAAGGCTGAAAGAGTAACTTTTACAAAGTACATAGTAATAGGACCCAGGAATTTAACTATATAAATATAGATAAAGCATATTTCTGTAAAGAATTCTATAAAATATTGCTATGTTTCTATGACCTTTGTGGTGTAGAAAACTGTGATTTAATCACTTCCACTCTTGTACCTGTGTTTTCTTGTGGACCAGAGCAATTTCTACATTTCCACTAACTGAAAGGTTTCCACAGATATCTGTGAACTTATAATAAAACTTTTTTTTTTAATAACAGCTTGTGTTTGTCTGTTTACTGAAATTAAAGATTTACTGAATCTAACATTTAAATAGAAACATGTAAATGAGTGTAATATTTCTGTATTTATTTCTCTCCAGGTCCAGCTGGGAGCTTCCTGATCTGAGAGAAGGAAGGGTAAAAGCCATCAGTGACTCAGATGGCGTAAGCTATCCTTGGTATGGAAACACCACAGAAACTGTGACCTTAATAGGTCCTACCAACAAAATGTCCAGGTTTTCCGTCAGCATGAATGACAACTTTTACCCTAGTGTGACGTGGGCAGTGCCTGTCAGTGAAAGCAATGTGCCCTTACTCACAAGAATCAAAAGAGACCAAAGTTTTACAACATGGTTGGTAGCAATGAACATGAACACCAAGGAAAAGATCATTTTACAGACAATAAAATGGAGGATGAGGGTAGATATTGAGGTGGATCCTTCTCAGGTGTTGGGTAAACGGGCCAGATTGGTGGGTAGGACTCAGCAGGAGCAGCCAAGAATATTAAGCCGCATGGAGCCAATCCCAACCAATGCACTGGTAAAACCTAATGCTAATGATGCACAGGTGCTAATGTGGAGACCGAAAAGGGGACAGCCTGTAATTGTTATTCCTCCGAAATAGGATCTGCAATGGTTTGATTAAAGAGTGCTCCAAATGAAGACGTTTTAAAGCTATTTACAGCTTTGAAGACAATGCATGGGGTCAAAGAGACTAAAAACTTTTAGAAGTATTTATTTCATGTGCGCATTTTTTGAAAGTGAACAAAAGTTTTATACAGTCTATTTATTTAAATATTACTGTTTTTAGTGCCTGTGGCCAAAAAAAGCAGTAAAAAAAAATCGGCACAGCAGGAGCATCAGTGTATTGGTCAAACATTTAATCCCTTTTATCAAGTTTGTTTGAATTTCCAAATAACATTTCAGTTTCATGTATTTCCAAGAGAATTGAAAATATACATTTAAGAGTGCTTTACAGTACTATACAATAGAGGGGTTTGTCAAAAAGCAACAGATCTTCTGTCTCAGAAGCCTTTGATTGGAAGCTGCCATTTTCCAATTCTAAAGCTTAAGTTACTGGGAAATAAAGTAGAACCTTCTCAGCTTTACTGCATGTGAAAGCACTGCAAACAGACAACAGCTTCTATCAGAGACTACTGAGACATCTGTTCAGATTTGTTGTAGATTCCCTTTATATTTCCCAGTCAGTGCTTTTTAAAGCTGAAACATATACACAAAAGTGGGATATTCTATGTATAGAAATAGGTTCAGCAGGAAATATGCAATCATACATCAGCCTTTTGATTTGTTAATCTAACCATTGATCCATACATCATTGTTGAACTGAAATGCAAGCAGAATAACTTTTTGTAAAGCATACATTCTGCTTCAATGGTAAATTATTAGGCAATTTTTTACAACTTTTTAAATATATTTGAAACATTTGAAGTTATATGGGCAAGCATGAGTGTTTTAATATCCTTGTGGAATGAATTTGTGGATTGATTTCTAAGCGACCGTAATAAAAAATTTTGTTTCAAGTTTCAATAAAGAGACATTACAGTCAAGACTGCGTTATATGCATATTAGATATGCTCATTAAATTGTGTTGAAGAATATCTTGTCTTTGGTTGTTGAGCTAAGCATTGTTTGTTATGAATGCTTTCTTTCTGTATCATGCTATTAAAATGAAGAACGTACACAACATCCCTACTGATCAACTGTTGGAGGGGTGGTGACATGCCAGTGTCACACTGGGCTTTACTTAATTGTAAATGAATAATAAACTTTAAAGTGTATTACCATTTTTGCAGCCAAATTGGGATAACACCTATTTTATATTTGTTACATGTTCCCATTCAGGTAGCATAAGCTAAAAAAATTAGCTTTTTACTTGCTAAAATTTCTACTTGGATTCTCCTTCTATGTAATGTTAGGAGGGGCTGTGAGGATTTTGTGTTAATCCTGTCTGTACTGTGCTGGCTCATTTGATTAAATTTGTAAAGTAGATTTGAACACTGTCTACCATAACAAAGGGTTAAAGGATTACAAGCCAGGCTTCTACAGTACGTTGTATGTTAATGAAGTTAATGAGAGAAACCCAATCTACACATTCCAGTCTTTCTATAAGTGTAGGTCAATGTGAAGGTGCTCATAAAACCCAGATTCAGCCTTGTTGCCTGCTGCAAAAAAGGTAAGAAGTATTTTTTAAAACATTTTTTTTCGGTGTGCTGTGTAAATGGGAACACATGACAAACATATAGTGAGGTTTTCTGAAATGTCACTGCAAAAGTGGAAATATACTCTAACTACCTCCCGGGAGCTTCTTGGATGTAACTGGGTGTGTATACACGTCCTGTTAGTCCCGCCCACTCGTGCACGCGCGAGCGGGAAAGACACATAATTTAAAACCTGGCAGCAATTTCTGCGTTCCAGTGCGTTCAACCTCTGGAACACAAGCCAGCCGGCTCCCTGACTTCAGGGGTGGGAGGGGGCATGGCAGTGCATTGAAGTCAATGGCACCACAGCCACGCCCCCCACCCGTAGTGTGATCGCACGGAATGTAGGCACATTAGTGCCTGTGATCCGGTCCAGTGCAAGCTGCAAAAATAGTGCTTGCAGTATTTTTGCAGATCGCACCGGAGCGTAACGCAGACACTAATGTGCCTGCGTTTAAGGTGCAGGCGATCGCACTCCAGGCGGGAGGCATGGCTGGGGTGCCATTGAGTTCAATGCACTGCCATTTCATTCTGCTGCGGTTAGGAGAGGCTGTACAATACAATGACAGCTGCCACCAACTGCAGCTGTACGCATATAATCGCACAGGCTGTGATTACCTGATGCAGACTGTTTCTGTCCAGGTGTGATCGTCCACAGGTAATTGCAGCCAGTGCGATTACGTGTGAGTGGTCTGCAAAAAGCTGTGTCCAGTGGCAGCTGTCATTGTATTGTGCAGTGCCTCCCATCCACAGCAAATTGAATAGGTCTCAGTAATTCAAGAGACTCATGTAATCAGTCCCTTTAACAAGTGTGAATGGGGCCTTAAAAGGTAATGTTTAGCTTAATTTTCTTTAAAAGGCATTTGTGTCTCAAAACATTGTTCCTTTTTCTGTAAAAAGCATTAACAAAAGGGATACTGTCAAAATTACCTTTTCTGTAGTTTATAATTGATTGCATGGGCCTTAAATGCTATGATGTGTGTATTGAAGGTTGGTTCCACCATAGTGTATTCTGAGCTTAGTTGAACAATACCTCCTGTGATACTCTATGAGATGAAAGAGAATAAATGGAAAAGGTCTCTTAGAGAAAGACTTAAGGTGAAGTGGATGCTAACAAAAGACCCTTCAGATCGATGAAATTAGCCATTTTTGCAAAACACTATCCAGAACAATAGATTTACTAGACAGTCAATGTTAGTAAAGAAGTGTATGATAGCATTGAACTGTGAATGGTCAGCAACGGGTAATGGCAGAAGCTGGCTGTGGGGAATCTGCAGGTGGCTTTAGTTTCACATGCAGATGTTACAAACTGCTACAGAATAGGTCAAATTTAGTAGTGGGTCACCTGTAGTGGACCTGTTTGTCCAAAGTGTTGTGGAGTCCTAAGCACATGTTTAGAAACATTCTTCCAAGCAAGGATTTTGGGATGATTGTACTGCTACTAAAGTCTTTCCAGGTGGATGGCTACTGCAAGGAGGATATTAGGTGTTTTTTAGAATGTGAAATCCTGAATCCTCCATGTAGAATTAACAAGACAACTCATCTGCTTGCTGTTCTTTTCTGTCAGCTTATATGCCAGAATATAATCAAATCTAAAGAAAACCAAAGCTCAGCAGGCCAGCCAGGGATTTAGCCTCAAAACTGATTGCAGGTATGGAGATTTGTACAGGCAGTTTGCACAGTGACAAGGCAGCTTGCTCCCTCCAGAAATGTTATGCTATTCCTTCAGGACAAGAACCCAATCTCTATTATTATAGTTTTTCTCAACTAGAGAAAACCTTTAACAGAAATGCAGCAAATGTGAAATTTGATAATTGAATGCCACTGAAATAGGACAGCATCAATCCCTACAGCTAAACAAAATACCTGTTCCAATTGTTCAAATGCCTAAATGGCTCTGGAGAAACAACTGCAGAGGTAGCAGTGGAGAATCGGGACTCTGAATGGTAAAAAAAAAATGGTAATAATATAAAAAAAGTGCCAGGAGGAGGAGAATCTGGTCACATGACTTTTCAAAGTCATTGACCGGGCACTTCTGCTTTTACCATGGGGCAGTTTTATAAAGCAGAGAATCTGACATTCAGCAAATACTCTCTGCAGGCAATTCTTATTTGGTGAAAGTCACATTTACTGCTTTATGAATAGTCCCCTAAGTGTTCTCTACAGCCTTATGAAGATAACACTTTATAGGACAGCGCAGATGCCGCATTGTAACTAGGGATGCACCGACACCGGTATTTTGGTTCCCTGCCTGTACAAATCTCCATACCTGCGTCATTACACGGCGCCGGGCTTCCTGATTGGCCAGCTTCCCGACCAATCAGGAAGCCGGGCAGCATGTAGTGACGCACTACCCGGCTTCCTGATTGGCCGGGAAGTCGGCTCCATGCTGTCTCGTCACGACCAATCAGGAAGCCAGGCAGCGTGTAATGACGCGCTGCCCGGCTACCTGATACAGGAAGTATCGGGCTAGGCATCAGAGCATTTGGGCGAGTACGAGTGCTTGCCCAAATACTTGGTATCGGCACCGATACTAGTATCGGTATCGGTGCATCCCTAATTGTAACCTGCATTTTATGAATGAGTCGTAAAATGCAGGTGCAGTAAACACAGTGTGCAGTAGAAAGCGTATATCAGTATTCACTATCTGTTATAAAAGAGCCCATGTTGAAAAATATAGGAAAATGTAATGCTAAATTAAGACAATAGTACTAAATGAGATATAAAAATTATCTTGAATAAATATTGTTGCAAGTACATTTACTAGGAGAACAAAAGGTCAGGAATAAATGCAAATGGATATGGCTGAATAAGGATATTCTGATATTCCATAAAATATATCATTAATTCAATAAGAACAATTCAAATTAGAAGATATTCTATTATAAACACTAAAGGGCATATTTATAAAGCAGTTAATAAAACATTCACTGCAGGTGACTAAATCGCTGCCAATTCAAACACATGTACTCGGAAGATTTATGTGCAGTGAATGTTTGGCGAGTGTGAAAGCAACTGCTTTATATAGTGATATGAATTATCTCTTAGATAATATAGGATCTCTAAAAAAAAATAACATAGGAAACATAATTGCAGAAGACAAGGCAAAAGCTTAAATCTATTAAACATATTTCTCAGCTCTCTTCACAAAGGGTTTGCCAGTATCAGATAATATAGTGGAGAATGATAACCAATGCAACCCATTCAGTTTTACTTGGCCACCACAGGAAGAGGTGGTAACATCTAATTTAAAAGTAAGATAGCTAAAGCATCTGGCCCAGATGGCATCTATCTCCACGAGCTAAAGGAATTAACCTCAGTAATTGATAAGCTTCTATATCTAATTTCCTCTGACTATTTTCTTTTTTACTGGAACAGTTCCACAATACTGGCACGTGGCTGATGTTGTAGCTTCATTTGTTAAAAAGGGTCGAGAGATAGATCTTTTAGAGCGGTAAACTTAACTTTTAAGGAATACTATAACAAAATAAATTGTAGATTATAATCTAATACTAATCAGCATAGTTATATATAATATAGGTGGGACCCAACATAATCAGTTTTATGTGGATTTAGGTTCATATCTAAGGGATCTATTTATTAATGTTTTTACCCAAGGTTCACACAACATTTACATAAGATTTGCACAATTTACAAAAAGTAAATCTTGGGTGAAAGTTCTGTGAAAAGATTGATAATATACCCCTACATGTTGCTGAGTTTT